CTCTCTCTCAATGATTTCTGAATTTTGTCGAGTTTCCCTTTTATTGTCATTACTGTTATTATTAGTACTAATAATATCATCACTTTCACTATTGTCAATATTATTACTACCAATAATAATATTTATACTTGGTCGCGTTATTGTCACTGAGGATCAGATTATATATATATTCGTATCTGAATTCTCGATACTTTTCGGATTCAAACAGATTCTATTCTAAGCAAAGAATAACCGTATTATTGATAATAATAATAATAATGTTAGTCACTTATTGAAAACGACACGAAAGCCTACACAACAACTAACTAACAAACTGACAGTTCATTACGTTGATAGATAGATAGATTATCTTTTGTTTTAATTCTCCAGAAAACATGTATACTACTACCTATTCTTAGTAAGTAGTGTGAATGAATGAAAGTTAACTACAATAGGACAATCATATGAGTTAGAAATTTATGAACAAAGTAATTGTGTGTATTTATGAAATAAAGGGTTTTAAGTTGGGTCTAGTTGGGGACCCTTCATCAGTAGGCACCCACACTCCACGAAGGATCAAGGCGAGAAACTTCAGGTTATGAGGAGATTTCATTGGTCTGTTAGCCACTAAGATAGAATCCAAAAGACAAACCATGAATCTAACTTTTTTCATTTTGTGATTTTCATTGCTACCACCTTCCAACTTCATCAGCAAGGATTTCCTCACACACTGACCTGATGCACTCCAGCGGTCACAGCTTCTAGTTAGAACTCCAGGCGACTTAATCCTGTAGTCACTCACTAATGAGCATGAGATTTATTTCTGAGGGCTGGTTTGAAGGCTGGATATGAAGCTAAAATTCACAAATCGAGAGACGTGAGGATTTACTGTCCGTTGGAATACGCCCTGGTGACTGTATGGTCAACTAGCTGTCTTCATAAGACAGAGGTCTTGGGTTCGTTCCCTGGTAGCAACTTATAGGCAGGGTCTGTTGAAGAGTTCGAAGAACGGATGAAACAGCTGCCCAGTATTCCGTGGTGGTTCTCATTAGTTCTCAAACTGATATCATTCTGTGATCAAATCTGAAATGATAATGTATTAGCTGTGTTGAATGTAATGTTTTTCAATATCACACAAAATCGAAGATTTACAAGCGAAAACCGACAAACTGGTCGAAGAGGCAGCCGGAGAAGACGGGACTCCATGTGAACATAGACAAGACGAAGGTTATGAAAATAAACAACCAACAACAACAGAAACAACATCCAGTGCCAATCACCACCAACGGGAGGGATTTGAAAGAGGTTACGTCATTCACTTCATTATCCAGGGAGCATCGTCTCAACTACAGGAGGAACGGACGAAAATATCAAATCGAGCGATAATCGGAAGGCTAGAAACGCTTTCATTAACCTGAAACCAATTTGGAAATCTTCGTCACTCAGCCAGAATCAACAACAAAATTCGGTCGGATTTTCAATACAAACGTCAAGTCAGTCAGTTCTTCTTTACGGATGAGAAACTTGGCGGCCGGGTCACAAAGAGTATTTCCAACAGCCTGTTGCAGACCAGACCTTTATCAACAACTGTCTCCTCTTTATACTGAAGATCAGATGGCCGGGCTGGAAAGAATCACAACAAGAAACTATGGGAACAAACAAAACAAGAACTAATCGCCTAACAAAAATGTCGGACAAAGTGGAGATGGATTGGTCACTCTTTGAGGAGGCCACTGGGTGACATCGCGCGCGCGTCAGGCCATTGCTCGAGTGGAGCCAGGCCGAAAGGGAAGCGGCGAGTTGGTCGTCAGTGCAGTGGTGACATGGAGGGATCGTGTGAAGAGGAGTATGGTCTAACAGTATGGACTAACATGGACGCAGGTGAAAAGTACAGTAGAAGGAAGACAGAAGCAAGTGGAGAGGTCCATTTTAGGCCGTATGTTCCACTAGGAACCCATGGGAACAATAGTAATATAATAATAATTGATTGATTTTATTGGACGGAAGTGCACCTTGTCTTTTGACATCTTGACTCCTTCAGCGAGCGAATCAACAGCGACTGAAGGTTACTACCTAATGGCGCTTAACAGTTGAATGTAGGGTGTGCATTTCGTCCTGCTTAGTACTTCTCATCTGTATGTATGTCATTGAGTTCTCTTGAGTGGTGGAGTTCTTAGTCAGATAGACCTAGTAATCGTCGTTTCTATTGGGCTTCTGAGCCATGAGAACAACAAGTATCATTGATTCGTCCATACTAAAAGTCAACATGACAACACAGACCCAGCATTTCAGTCAAATACAATTAGCCTCTGAGTCACAAAAATAACGAATGAGTGTTTTAGATTCTACTGTTAACCATCATCAACTAAATGTCATGAAATCGGGAAATTTCGACAGCTAATGACGGAGTAAAATGTCTCATTTATTCACATAGACTCTTACTGAAATATCATTTTTAAACTATGATTGTATTCAACATTTTGTGTTGCTATACTTGTCTAAAGAAGCTTTAGAATAAAGCTGTTTTACAAGCATTAAGTACACGACAGCTTTGACTAAAGAGGCAGATATGTTTATGAGTATTATACATTAATAATAATTTCCATGGTAATAATAAAATCAAGCTCTTTTACCGTCCTACTTAATGATTCAACAACCGGATGATTGATATTCTGTAAGGAAAAGTGCACTAGAAAGAAAGTAAGTACACTTCAGTACAATTAAACGATTCAAAGAAAACCTATTGTAATCATCTTTCAAATGCTTGTCGGAATACTGTACGCATAAATGTCGTAATCATTCAGTATAAAGGCCATAATTAGTGCATAATGGTTAATATACCGAACACTTTTGACTAGTTATACATGTTGTTTTTTAAAACAAAAATAAGATGAAGTATTTATTGTATAGTTAAGCGGAAAAGTTAAACAGGCATTTTAAAGTAACATTCACTTCAGACAGAACACCAGTCTATATAATGCTTTAAAATGGAAAATAATTTACAGCGGAAAAATCACCCAAGCATTGAAAGTAAAGAAAGGACTAAGGCAAGACTGTCTGCTATCGCCGATGATGTTCCAAACTGTGATCCACTGGATCATATGTCAGATGATAGGGAATGAGAAAGTAGGCACAAAAGGACTCTAGAACACCTGGATTTAAAAGAATGGTTACTGAAAAAAAAGGAATACTCTTTTCGATAACTTCGTCATCAGGCTCTACACCTATATATACATTATAGTGAATGAATGAATAAATAAGGGTTATTAACAGCATTAATGTTTAGATAACATCGAATCAATAATATCAATAGATTGCAGTTCAGTAGCCTCAACATTACAATACCCTGAATGTCAAAAAATTAGGAAAGATAATTATCCAAACTAATGAATTTGTAGTCTTCATTTAAGGCCAGGGCAATAGTAGTGGCTGGGCCTGCTTACTTTGTACACAAAACACTGGTTGTTTCACGCGAATCACGATAGCCTCTACTGTTTACAGTATGCGGTATCTCGATGTTTTTGGCAATTTATTTGGTACCCGGTAGATTAGAGAGGATGATTTCCGGCCGGTTTGTATTAGATGGTCTAATATCGAACTGTTGACGGTTTTTACTGCTTACTTTACTTAGTCATACTGGTAGATGTTCTCGAGCAGGAAAAGTCAAGTTCCCATAGCAACAGCTGATATAACTCGCTCGACAAGCGCAGTTGAATTGGTAGATACAATTGAAGGTGGCTGGTCTAGGTACTTCATCTTTCAGTCGAGGAATCAACATCGGCCTTGTAGAGAATAAGACGTGTGATTCACCAGCATTCAAAGTTCTTTGAATTGATTTTCTTAATTTCTTCGTAATTATTTCGCTGTGTTTGTCAGCCTTGAATTTCAGTCATATATATAAGGGCTTCTTGTTTGCAGATAGTGAGTAGGAGATGATTCACCTCTCCTCTTGCACAGACTTGGAGATTTTCAAGTAGTGATCAACAAGTTGACAGAGGGGCAGTGAAGACAGGACGTTGATTGAACATAAAGAAAGCAGAAGTAATGAAGATACTCAACCAACAACAGTAAGTGTCAATCACCATCTGTAAGATAAATCTAAAGGAAGTAATCTCTTCGAATTAACATACGTTGAAAGCACCGTTTCAAATACAGTAAGTCGACAAGGATGAGGATTTCGAAGCAAACTATAACCGTATCGGGGAAGCAGGACACGCGTTCAGTGTAGAGACCTATTGTACTGACTCTGCACAATGACTAAGATACAAATTTTCATCACAGTTATCAATTCGGCGCTCATATATATTTTATTCCTTTACTTTCCCAGTGGAACATAGGGCGCTTTCAAGCTAGAGGCTTGAAGTTCCGGTAGCGGTGGTGTTTATTTTTACATGATGGGGTTGCTATCCTCATGCTCAACATCCCCTCTTTACCAGTCCTGTTTTTGGCTTAGCGAGGTAGAGGAGTGTATTGGCCGGGGATCGAGCTCGAACCACCTGCATGGTCTCCGAGCATTCTACCACCGTGCCACCGACGCACAGTGTTTCCATTTGGCTTAAACATTTGACACGGGCGTCACAAGAAGCATTTGCAACATCTGTTAGCAGATGCTTTTGCTAGATACTGAAGATTAGATGGCCAGAAAAGATCAACAAGAAGGAAGTCTGTCAGTGAAGTAACCAAGAACCTATTGTCCAACGAATATATAGGAGGGAATTGATGTAGACTTGACAAATGCAGAGGTGATCTTTGAATTACATCATATGCCAAGCAGGCCGTTGAAGAGAAAGCTAGGGGTTGGGTAACACGGACGAGGTTGCATTGGGTGGAAATGAAAGCTAATGGACAGTCGTGGATCCAGCTGTAATTGATTAAGGACTATTTATTCCAAAGCGGGTGTGTTGATGAAGCCATAAGCTCCAATTGGAACATAAAGAAGAAACGATAAGTAGTTTCAAAGAACATGAGATATTTAAGTATCTGTAATAACACAAAGTGATACAAATAAAAATTCTGCTTACCTGAGATGACAAACTATCATTTGTCAAACCATCTTTTGCAATAAGTGTCAATTTATATGTCTGTGGACTTGGAGGTCGGTACATGGCACAAAGAACACTTGGAGCTTGTGGAATTAAAGCAAATAATCCATTGTAATTATCTAGAAGCTCTAGAATGCAACAGTCTAACATAGTATCAGATTCCATATCTCTGTCGATCACACGATGTGGTAGTGGCTCACATACTGGGTTAGCATTTTCTAGAGGAGGAATTTTCTGATTTTTATCGGATTTCGAGTCGACTGAACTCCCAGAAGTGTTATTTGTTTGAGTTGACTTCGGTATTACTAATGGATTTAGTTGTTCCCATGTGAAAGTAACATGGGAACGATGTGGTTCAATCAACGTGAATTCAGGTCGATTATCATTTAAATTTAAAATTGTGATCACTACACTTGCTTCTGTTCCGATGTGTTTCATAAGCATGTTTAAGTTATCACTTCGCATAGACGGTGAACGATGAATTGGGACTTCATTCTCTGCTTCTACTACAAGTGAAATTGATGATCTAGATTCCCTGTCAATTGGACGTCTAGTTCTTAATATTCCAGTCGTGCGGTCGATTGTAATCAGTTTTAAGTCTTCAGTACTTCCCCGGAGATTGTAACGAACACGTTGGTTGACTATTGTAACATCTTTATCCATTGCTTGTACAATGCCAATTTCTGTTCCACCTGCTGCATTTTCAGGTACCTAATAACACAGACAACAAAATTATTTTGGAATAAGGTTAACTGACTGGGTCTAAGATAACAGTTGTTAAGCGGTAAAATAAGACCGGTAGAAAACAGAACAAGTGACACTTCTCAGAGCATGCCAGTTTTTCACAGGAATAGTACAATAGTTTTGCAGGATATGATATTGTACAGTTAGACTGTCCTTGTCTTACTGCATTTTCGGCAGTGCTGAATGACAATTTTTGATATTTAGATGGTGTTTTAAAACTAGAATAAAGATTTGTTGTCTTTTTCATAATGCTTTCCTCAAAAGTCTACACTCCGTGATCAAACTAATGTCATTTACATAGGTTAGTGTGATGAACAAAAATTAGGATGAATGAAATTGTTCCGAGTGGAACATATAACTTCGATAGTCAGCTTTCAAGTTACAGTATTAGTGGTGTTATTCTCCCTTAAGGGCTGGGGTTTCCCGCCTCATGAGCAGCCTTCCCCCTTTGTTAGGATTATTGCAAGCTATGTGAGGCTTGGGAGCGAACCAATCAGGAACCGATTGTGAAACAAATAGGCAGAAAGAAATGGAGATGGATTGGCCATACGCTGAGGAAACCATCAAGTGACATCACTAGACAAGCCCTCGAGTGGAACCCGAAAGGGAGGCGGCGAGTTGGTCGTCAGTGCAAGGGTGACTTGGAGGAGGTCATGCGAGGAGAAGATGAAAGCATGCGGACAGACCTGGAGCAGGGTGAAAAAGTTGTCAGAAAACCGAAGGCAATGGAGGTGCGCAGCTGAAGCCCTATGTTCCTCTAGGAACTAAAGGATACAATAATTCAATAATAATAATATGTGAGGCTTGGGATGGTATCGGACAGGAATCGAATCCCAGACCACGTGAGACGTGGTTGGCGATCATCCTATGTGTGAGCCGCCAATGAACGAAATCAGGAAGTGCTGGACAGCTGTTTTTTCAGCCAGCAGTATGCACCTGGCTAGGTTCGAACCTAGGACCTCTCGATTAAAGGACTGGTTCGTAGATCATTCAGCTATTAAATTTCTGAGAACAAAGGTGAATTTTTACCGATGAAATAAAAGTAAGCTTAACTATCTTTGCCAAATATCCACTATTAATGTATTACAACTGCTTCAATTAGTCAAATACTGAAAGGATAAATAAGCTTCCCTGAGGTTAAGTTTAAGGTACCTAGACACAATGAATTTTGTATTTAGACAGGTTACTTTTAATTATCCATCTGTCATTCCAAGACTATCGGATATTACATGGACTATTTTGAGACTTTGTACCTTAAATATTTTTAAGAGAGCACGTAATGTTACCTTCAGAGATGCTTCAAGAAGTAGTAGATTTATTCCATTCTTCGTCGGTCTCTTTTGGATAAAAGTGGTTTGAATAACTACTGACTGACCATTGGGCTCTAAACATTTTTAATCATGACTCAAAATTCAGAACCATTCCAGGTTTAATGCCCTTTCAGCAGATTGAATTTCTGCCAATGAACAAGATCCTGAAGGTTATATGTTTGATAATTTACTTCGTGTTGCCTCGAAAATCCAACCTGATGAGTAGTCTTCTGCTTGATGTATTGGAAAAAATTAAATGTTTTCCAGTGAAATATCCGATTCTTTCTAAGCGTTTTTATTAATATATTGCGAGATGTCAGAAGCTGTCTAGAAATTCAATTCATTTTACCATCTGTGAAGCAACTTTCACAGCAGCCAATTCGGTAAACTATAAAATCTCCCCAGGACTACTGTGAAGATTGATATTAAATTTTATTAAACGACCTATGGATACAACCGATTAGTTTTTGATTTTAGTAGATCAGCTGTATTTTACAACGTGTCAAAGAAGAAGCACGGATACACAAAATAATAAAAAATAAAATTTGACAAGATATTAACAGGCAGATAAATATCCCAATAGTTTTCGCTGTATCAAACTTGTGTTCACGGTCAAGAAGGATTCACCAAATTATGCTAAGTGTATACTGAGTAGATTATAACTACAAATTACTCAGACTAGTAACTACACTAGGATAACCTTCAGTAAAAATGACTGCGCTTATAGTCAATGTGAAGTGATTGAAGAAAACCTTTAAAGCTTTCGAATCCGGCTTAAGTCATCTATTTGTGCTTTACCTTCTTCTTGAAAGTATGACTGACTATACTTGTAGAATAAAGATAACAACAGCTAAAACTGAAAGACCTTTTAGTGAGCCTTTTCATCACAAAATGGTACAGTCTTCAGTACACTATGTTTGAATATTGGTGATTATTCGCAAGAGTTCATTTGTGACTGATTCTCATTATTGTTGTTTCCTTTAGTTCCTAGAGGAACATAGGGCTTCAGCTGCATATCTCCATTGCGTTTGGTTATCCGCCAACGTTCTCACCTGGCTCCACGTCTACCCACATGTTTTCATCTCCTCTTCACATAACCTCCTCCGTGCCATCCCCTCACTGACGACCAACTCGCTACTTTTCATTCGGGTCCTAATCGAGTGACTGCCAGGCGTGTGATGTCATTCACTTGATGGTTTTCTGAGAGTATGGTCAATCCGAATCCATTTCTTCCTGCCTATTTATTTCACAATCGGTCTCTGCTGGGTTGGTTTGCTCCCTGTTACTGATCTTTTGTGGCCATCTGATCTTGAGCGAAGTAGTGAGTAAAGACAGCAGTTGATGAAGGTCTGTAGTTTGTTCGAAGTGCCCTTCATGACTCTGCGCGGCTCAGCGCCAAATCTCTGACCCGTATAGTAGCAGTGACTTCCCACAGGAGTTGAAAATCCAGATCTTATTTTTCATGCTGACTTGAGAATAATGAAAGCTTGCCTTGTTTTCCCAATCCTCGCTTTGATATGCTCGTCAGTTCCACCCGCCTGTAGTTGAAACGATGCTTCCCAGGTAGGTAGGTAGGTAGATAAAGGAGGTTGCTTCTTTCAGATTTCTCCCATTTATGCAGATTTTTGTCTGTTGTTGCTGCTGGTCAAGAATCTTTATCACCTCTGTTTTCTCTATGTTCACCTGAAGACCGATACTATCTGGGAATTGTACATCTACGGTTCATTGGTAGGATGCTCACTGACTACGCCTCATGTGGTCCACGTTCGATTCTCAGACGACGGATGTAGTCTTAAACGTCGCTTAGCCAATATTAAACCGGTTAAAGATAGAAGTTTGTGTAGACACACACTGCCACTGAAACTTCGTAGCTCAAGACTGAAGCCCTATGCTCTACGAAGAATACAAAGGGATGAGAAAAGTAACCCATTTATAAATCTAAATGAACATAAAGTGTCAAATAGAGTTATTAGGTGACTTAATGTTTTGTTTCCAAAAATGCTTACCTCAAACAAATAGTGAGTATTAACAAATTCAGGTACATTATCATTAGCATCTTCTACAGTAATTATAACACTTGCACTAGACGAAAGTGATACAGGTACTCCAGAGTCTTTAGCGACAACTATTAAATGATATTCACTACGATTTTCACAATCTAATGATTGAATCGTCCATATTTTAGCAGTGATTGGATCTATACGAAAGAATGCAGTACTGTTGAGATAATTATTCGATGTCATTGATGGTGATGACGGCGACTGTGAAGTCAAAGCTGATGTCGCTACACTGTTTGTTGTCAACTGTGATGATGATTCATTTGGACTCAATAAACTGTATGTAATTAAAGCATTTACTCCTAAGTCAGCATCAGATGCTTGAATTGGTATAGTCATATGTACTTCAGCATGAAGTTGATTTTCAATTACTTGACCGTTATAAACACTTTTGGTGAATATTGGTTTATGTTCATTAACATCTGTTATTGTAATATGTAGACTGGCATTCCTTGAAAGTGCATACGGACCTTCATCATCAATACACTCCACGGTAACCTATGAAAAAATAACATGCAGAAAGAGAAGAACTTTGAGGAATTATTAAAACAAGGACATAGACATAAATTTGATAAAATTAAATTGTAAGCCAATGTTAAACACAAAGTGATTGAAGAAGTGTAATTTAGATGGCCAGTTTTATGCATATACCGAAAAGTAAGTTTTAAGTAGGCCAAGTATCACAGACTAAGTTTAATAAAAATACTGTTTTTGCCTATGGATAAATTATTGCACAACAAATGTGCTTGTCAAGGACTTACTCTCTCGGAATTTCATCTCAGAAATGAATATTTAAGAGGTTTAGAAGTACCAGTTACCATGAAATAAACATATACGCTAAAAAGCAAGTTAGAGCTCTTAACCTAACTCCAGCTCTAATCTGTCTTTAGCCTGACCCTAACTGGTCTCACTAACCAGATATCCTTTTTAGCATAATAACACTTCGTTCAGCACTTTCTAATCAGTATAATGTTATTTACAAAGTTTCACTGTCTGACTCTGATTGAGCGGTTCTACGTCTCTGGTGACTGCGCTTCAGTTGGGTGTCTAAAGTTTAACTTCGTCTCATACTGAATAAAACTTCTGATTTCCTTAGTACTCACAGTTAGTGATCCATGCCTTAGAAAGATGGATGATTAGATGTGTTTTGAGAATGACCATTATTCACATAAGTGGTAGTGTCAAGGTTGGAAACATGTTGGTATAGTTGTGTGGTGTCTTTTACCCATGGCGGTTAGTTTACACTGCATATAAGGCTCATGTATTATTAAAAATTCGGGGCTTAGGTTTGTGGAATCAGGTGAACTTTACCAACTATTTAAAAAATTCATTTGTCTGTACTGGTGGCCTGCTTAAACTTGGGCTACCGAAAACTTCACTCAATATTTTGTGTATAGTTTCCCTTATTCAGTTCCTTTAAATCTGGTAAAATATAACCTCGTATAGCATTGTTTACCCTAGCGATTATTTAAAACATTTACAACCTGCTGATTCATGAGTTTCTACTAAACATGTCAAAAACCATTATCCTCGATGGTTGGCAGCTTATCCCAATATAGGAGATGACCGTTCCTGAGTGATGTCCTTCGTTCAAAAAATGTGCTCCTGAACACTTTATAATTGACATTCAACAAAATGCTGCCTGTTTCTCGAAGGACAAAAAGAAGAGGTATAGCAGTGGATTGATTGGCTCTTTAGTTCATATAGAACTGTGTCACACGATCTACTGTCAGTCGATTAGTCTTTTATTTGAAGGTCCTGGACTAAGAGAAAATATCATGCAATGAACCCCTCTGAAAATTCTGTTGTTAGTATTGTTACATAAGAGTATACATGACCGTGGTGGTCGGGCTTACACATCGCAATGACCCAACAAGCTCAACTGGTTGGAACCAATGTTCCTGCAGGTCCTACCATGCCAGGAAGGTTGTTAGGATAACGATTAGGCTAAAAGCATTTACCGGTATTGTTTAAGAATCTTTCTTACACCATGCTGGGGGTCTGAGGACGAAGTCGCACTGTTAGGGAACAGGGGTGTAACAGCAGTGAGATGTTTCCCTCAGATGACCAGCATGCCAGCCAACTTTGTCGTCCCTCCACTCTGCTGGAGAGATGGGGTTAAAAAAGGTCGACTGCAACAATTGTACATCCCGACTTACCCTATCTACGATGGTCCGTAACCGGCGGTAAGTCTACTAATACGGAACCAAACCAAAAAACCAGTTCATACAGGCCTTGTGTGACCAGCCTGGCTCAAGCAGTTGTCTCCTGGGCTCTGCGGTTACGCAACACTAAGCCTCTTTCTGTTTCAGGTACCCGAAGAATTAATCAACTTCCAAGATGTGCGCAGTCAGCCCACACACAAATCCAAAAGCACACGAAGCCTTCCTGAGCACTATTCTCCTTTACTCACATCACTTATACATGACCGTGTCTAGCATTTCACTGAGCTATTCAAATACATACGATTCCAAATAAATTAGAATTTGTATGCACTTATTCCAGTCCATTTGATGATTAGTCTAGAGACATGCTAGACACCGACAGATATTTAATGTATTGCTCATAGAAGCAACAAATACAATCGTAGATTCCGATGTTTTAAGAATGAAACAGCCTAGGCGAAGAATAACTCAAAACACATGAGAACAACACTTTAAGAATACACAAGGGATTTTTTCAATAAAGGCTGTTTATTAACTGATAACTGCCAGCTCTTCAAGACAAGATTTTTGTCACAAAATGTCTACAAAGTTAAAGTTTGATGGTAGCGTTAATTTTCCGACAGAGATAGTCTAACAGAACTTGTACACTGTGGTAGAGTATAATTCCATTATGGATAAAAATTATTTTGATAAAGTCACACAGTGTTATACAGTAATATTTACTGTAAGACTTTATCAAAATAAATTTTTTAATCCACAGTGGAATAGTCTAATGGAGATATTTCAAGTTTCATACATGTGAATATAAGAAATGAGTTGACGGATAATGATAGTTTTATTGATTATTGTTCATCTTTGAAACACTTAGTGTTTTTGCAATGTGGCCACCATTCTAGGTTGCTCGCCATCACGGTGCATATTTATTTGATGATATTAGATAGTCAGAGGCAATTGGACACAGGAAGCCTTCGACCTAGGTTTTGTGCTAGTTGGCACTAACCAGTCAGCAAGGTGTATCTGTAACCTTGAAGGAACTCATGCTCCATCTGAGATTCGAACTCGCGTCACCCAGTGCTGCAGTCAGAGACTTTACCACTGAGCTATTCGTGGTCGCGATTGACCCCCTGTAGGACTGTAGTGGGTAGTTTGATTGGACACTAGTAACTAGTGTGATGTGTCTAGTCCTTTCTGTGGTGCCGACTGAATTCTGTCAGTCAATCGCGAGCTAAAATAGCTTAGTGGTAAAGTCTCTGACTGCAACACTGGGTGACGCGGGTTCGAATCTCAGAAGAAAATTGAGTTCCTTCAAGATTGCCAATAGGTCTTGCTGACTGGTGAGTGTCAACTAGCACTAAACCTAGGTCAGCAGAGGTTACCTACCGATTGCCTCCAACTATCTAATACTTAGAGTTTCTGTTATTTCATCTGTTTTTCTTAAGGATATCTGGCCTTCTACTTGGAGTTTTGTTTAATGACAATTTAAGCCACATAGTGGCATAAAAACCATGTATACATATGAAGTAATTCTGATGTTGTTGCGTTCTCTGAACTAAGGGATTTAACCACCAAGCTTTCAGTATCCTCCTAGACAGCACTTACAACGGAAGCTTCAGTATGAGTTGAGTTTATATGAATTCTACATAAAGCATATATTTGATGTATATATTATTATTTAAATGTTTACTGAATATGCCGATTCATTGATTAGGTGTAGCTAACAACATGTGTCTAGTTGGTAGTGTTGGTGTCGACTGGATTCTATCAATCAAGTTTGCATTGTGGTCGCCAAGCTAGAAAGTTTATCATCGTAATGTAGTTTGAATTCCTGATTGCTGGCTAGAGGCAATCAAATGGACACCCTACAAACTATCTGAGATCTTTGGTGTCATGAAGTGAGAAAGTTTTTGAAGACTGATAAGTGATTATTCAAAGAAAGAAGAAATAGCATTAAAAGGGATGGAAAAGATGTCTGTTTAACTCGGTATTTAGTGATTGTTACTTTCTTCAATAATATTTTAACTATGGTGAAATTGTTGAGGATATACTTATTCGAGGGAATAAGGATTAAAGAAGTTTGAGTGAGTGAAAGCGTGTAGTACAACTAGAGAATCTGGAAAAGTCTTCAGCGTCTTGGTGAAAACCACGAGATGATTATTGACGAGGAATGACTGGTACATTCTCAGTATCTACGTTTCTTTCTAAAAGATATCTTATTGTCTACGTTCGGAAGCAAGAAAAATGATTACTGTATATCAACTTGATACATCAAATCGATTTAAAGCGATTCAGTGTCTAATTAGTAAACAGGTATTATACTTAGTTTCTAATCATAGATGGGGAGAGAGACAGAGAGCAAAGCTGAATCTATCAGTTCAACTGATGTTGTGGAGCAAGGCATATTGGCCGTAGCCAGAGGACGCTTTCCACACTGATACGAGAACATATTCTAGCAGCATGGTTTTACAAGGGAGAAAGGAAGTGTATGCGAAGCTCTATTCTAGAACATCTGATCAACTGCTATCACTCTGCCAACCCTGTCCATGATTTTAAGATCATCTACCGAATCCATGCTAACTTGCTGGCTGCATTTTCTTCGTTACAGCCTTCTAAAGACAACAGAGGCCTTGGCATTTCATGATTTTAAGCCAGACCTTTGTGTATGTATAATCCATACTTCTGCCTTGGCTGTAGAGGGATAGACATTTATTTATTCAGTCAATCTATGTGCCTTTGTAATCTTGGATCATTTTCATATTAAGGATCTGTTAGCAATCTTTGTTTAACCCCTCACCTTCTCAAATGATCAGATGTTGTTCAAGGAGTTGTTTGGTTTGCATAACTAATGGTTATGTGACAAATTGAATGAAGACTTCATCATGGGTTCTACAAAGTAATATTTTTTAGAATTACCCAAAAAAATCCATATTCGGTTCATTTGGTATATACGATATAACTGGATATCCTAGGTCAGTTTATTCCTGGAATAAACTATGGATCTTTATTTGGGCATACGGGAAAGAACAAGTAAAGTTCTACAAATATTCACTTTTGTTTTCTCAAATGAAACAGAAAATAATGTTTATTGCTTGAATCATGGGTATGTTCACTTTATATAAGTCTTTATAGTTAGCTCTTATTACATAGCGCATTAATTGTACCAATCATTGGGGATGCAAGTACAACCAGCTGATGAATTGCGAATAGGACGACGTATTAGTGCTGGATTCCAGTGTTAGCTACTAATTACCAAATAGAGTTTATTAATATTATTCAGGATGATTTTCTTATTTTTTTCTGTCTGTAATACAACTCAAACTAGAGTGATAAAAAAAT